ACAGGCCTGCTCATACTTGATGTCCTCGTGTGTCACCGCCTTCCCCGAGAAGATCTCGGTCCTGGGGGGAGAAGGGGTCACAGCACAGGGAGCAACCAGGGAATCCCTCAGGAGGAGGATGTGTCCGGAGCCCTATTCCCCAGGGATCCCTGGGAACCCCCTGCACAGGACACTGCTCCCCAAAGGTTCCCTGGGATCCCTCCATTCCCCCCTGGGGCAGGACACTGATCCTTAAGGGGTCTGCAGGACCCCGTTCCCTCAGGGATTCCCCAGAGCCCCCTATGTCAGGACCCTGTTCCCTAAGGGGTCCCCCAGAGCCCCCCATGCCTCCCTGGCACAGCATCCTATTCCCCAGGGGTTCCCTGGGACCCTTCTGTGCTACCCTGGAGCAGAACCCCATCCCCTAAGGGGTCCTGGGACACCCCTGTGCCAGGACCCAAATCCCTAAAGGGTCCTCGGTATCCCCCCATGCCAGGCAGGACCTCGAGAGTCCCCAGGATCTCCCCGTGCCACCTCAGGGCAGGACAGAGTCCCCCTGGAGGTCCTCAGGACCCCCTGTGAAGGACCCCACTCCCCAGAGGTTTTTGGGACCCTACTGTGCCACCCCAAGGCAGGACCCGAACCCTCTCCCCACGTGACAGGCACTGCCCCCACCGTGTGACGGGCACTGCCCCACCCTGCCCCCCTGCCCCCTGACCATGTGACGGGCACGGCGGCGTCCTGGCCGGCTCCCATGGGGATGCGGCTCTGCAGGAAGTGCAGCTGTCCCAGGTACTTGCGCAGGGTGCTGCAGCCCTCGAAGTCCCTGGGCACGCTGACGGCGCTCTGGGAACAGGGGGCAGGGTGAGGGGGGGCCGGCAGAGCCCCCCCAGGGCCCCCCCCGGGCAGGGTGTCCCTCACCTGGCGGAGCAGCTCCAGCTTGCGCAGCTCCTCGTTGTAGTTCTCGGGGTTCTCCCCGTAATTCTTCAGCACAAACTGCGGGACGGGAGGGGTGTGAGGGGCTGGAGACCCCCGGGAGGGCCAGGGGACCCTTGGCTGGGCCTGGGGGCTCGGGGAGGAAAACACTTCGATCCCCTGAGAGGCGAGTTCCATCCCCAAGGGCAGGGGAGGGAATCGGGAACTGCTGAGCTTGGACAAGGAAGTTGAGGGGAGGGAGAAGTCCCCGCCGGACCCCGCAGGCGAGGCAGGTTGGGGGCACTCCCAGGCCCACCCGCGCCCCGTGTCCCCCCCTCAAACGGCGCGGGGAGCCCCCCGAATCCTCCTGCCCTTCCGCCAGCCCCGGCCCGGGGAGCGCCGGGCAGGGCTGGGCTCGCTTACAGCTGCTCATTATCGGATTCATTACTCCATTACCGAGGTCCCCCCAGACCTCGGGGGGCTCCGGTAAGGAGGTATCCCCGCCCCAGTCACCCCTCCCCGCCCGTCCCACCACGGGGCCCCGAGGGTCCCCAGCGGCCCTCCCGGGTCGCCCCTCTCCAGAACCCCCGACCCCTGCCCTGCTTACAACGCCCCAGCTCCACCTCCCCGCTGCCCCAGGGACCCCTAAACCCCCCGCCGCTCTGCCCTTCTCCGGGCACCCCCGAGCCTCACGGACCCCAAACCCCCAGAGCCCCTGGCCCAGGCTCCGACCCGTCCGTCCTCCCGATCCCCAGAGCCCGCCCCAGTCCCCAGCCCCCAGGCCCCCTCAGCAGGCTCCGACCGTCCGTCCTCCCGTCCCCAGACCCGCCCCAGACCCCAGCCCTCCCCAGACGCCCACCTCTCCAAGCCCTGCCTTCCCCCAGCACCCCAGGGACCCCAGCTGGCCCCGGAGCCGTGACCCCCGGGCCACAGCCCCCCTGCCCCTCCCAGCCCTGCCCCCTCAGGCCCCACCTTCTTGACGGCGGCGTTGAAGGCGAACTCGCCGGCCTCCTTGAGGTCGAGCCAGATCATGGGCATGCGAGGCACGGCCTCCATGGCGGCGTGGCCGCTCCCGGCGATCCCGGCCCCGCTCCCGGTGATCCCGCTGATCCCGTGATCCCGATCCCGGCCCGCCGGAACCGCGCGGGGGCTCACGGGACACCGAGTCCACGCGACACTTCCGGTTCGGTTCCCATGGCGACGCCCCGCCCATCGCGGGGCGGGATCAGAGCTGTTGCCATGGAGACGCAGCCCTCGCTGATAGGCGGGAGCGGGTGTGACCATGGTGACAACTCGGGCGCTGATTGGACGATACGGGTGTAACCATGGCGACGCTGCGAGCGCTGATTGGAAAGGACGGGTGTTGTCATGGCTAAGCTCCGCCCCGTGGGGCGGTTGCCATGGCAACCGCGAGTGCCGGGCGCCGCTAATTACACTGATAATCAGCTCACTAATTACCCCTGTCCTCACCTTCCGTGATGTACATTGCGGCCTCCAGGACTCCTGGGTGGTCCCAGGGATGCCCCATCCTCCCCCCAGGCCGCTTCCAACAATGTAGAACAATCACAAAACGGAGTCTTTACGATATTCCCTTCCTTTATTGAACTCCTTAATTGAATGATTCGATCCATTAATTAATTGAGCCATTAATTTATCTGCCCCATTACCTGACTACTCGGCCCATTATCCGAATGACCCCACCGGTTCACTGAAGGATCTGGTGAGCTCTGGCACAGGAGCAGCCCCTGGGAGCTCCCTAGATCCCAGAGGGACCAGAGCCACCTTCTGCCCCCTCCACACCCAGTCTGCCCAGCACACTTGTCCCAGTTTTTCGGGCACAGGGACACCAGGATGTGGTACAGGGACCTGGGGAAATCGGGATGCAGGGACACTGGGGCAGTGGCTTTAGGGACATCAGGATCCAGGGATGGGACAGTGGACCTCAGGGACAGTGGGCTGTAGGGACACCAGGATCCCAGGGACAGTGGGCTGTAAGGACATCAGGATCCAGGGACAGTGGGCTGTAGGGACATCAGGATCCAGGGATGAGACAGAGGGCTGTAGGGACATCAGGACCTGGGACACACACACAGAGCGAGTCCAGGAGACCTTGGGCCTGTCAGGGACAGGGGGACACAGGAGAGTCCCTGCTCCCCTGGGAATCCCCTTCCAGCACCTGGAGCCCCTCCCCACAATCCCATTTGATCCCAGTTTTCCCTACACCAGAAGGAGAACAAGGCTCTCACTGGTGACAATCACGGGGTCACGTTTAATGTCCTGCTTCTGGGGCGGCTGGACCCACGTTCTGCCCCAGAGAAAGTGCCCCATTGCCCCAGCTGCTCCCTCCATCCATCCTGCAGATGAATCCTGCTGGGATGAGCTGCCCAGGCCTGGGCAGGGGGGTCCCAGGTCAGCATTCCTGGGGAATTCCAGCTTTAATTAACAACAGCTGGGTTAATTAGGGTGACAGGAGCACTGCACCTCCTTCCTGGGCCTTCCCCAATCCCTCTGGATGGCTGGAGCAGGACCCTGGAACAGGAAAGGGTGGGAGGTGACCGGCCCTGCCTGGGGCTTCCAGGGGTTCCCCCCACCCCCTGGAGCAGGGATGTCCGGGGTTCCATGACCGCCCCCGGGAAGCGCCGGGAGAGGCCTCAAACATTCCCGGGATGCTCTGGCAGCGCTGCAGGAGTGGCAGGGGCCACGCCAGGCCCCCCCACGCTGGAGCCTGCGGCGGGAGGGGCTGCGGGGTCCCGGACACGGCCGATCCCGGGCTCTCCACAACAATGGGGGGCTCTGGGAAGGCGCGGCTGGAGCGAGGGGGGACACGGGCACCGCCCGGGAAGGGGCCCCGCAGCCCACGGGGTCACCGGGGACGTCCCAGAGCCACCCCGCCCGGCACCCCCGCGGGATCTCAGCCCCCCCCGGGGCAGCCGAGGGGCTGCACAGGGAATTCCAGGGAATGAGGGAACGAGGGACGGGGCAGACCAGCGACAGCTCACCTGGACACTCGAGAGATCCCCGGGATGGGGGACAGGGCTGCGTCCCAGCCACGGCATTCCTGCGGGATTTCAGCCCCGTGCCAAGGGCCCAACCCTCGGCAGCGTTAATGAGACAGCATTAATTAACCGCAATTAGGTCAGTCCCGGTGACAGGGCCTCTGAATCCGCCTCCTCCTTCTCGGTGGCTTCGAACGCGGTTGGGTTCCCGGAGGGAGCCTGGAATGGGGAAGGGCAGGAATGGGGAAGGGCAGGAATGGGGAAGGGCAGGAATGGGGAAGGGCAGGAATGTCACCGGCCCCGCGCAGGGGTTCCGGGGCTCCCCGGGTGTCCCCCCCAGATCCCTCCCCACCCTCTGGGGGTGTGCGGGGGTTCCATAACCGCCCCCGGGACGCGCCGGGAGAGGCCTCAAACTGCCCCGGGATGCTCTGGCAGCGCTGCAGGAATGGCGGGGGCCACGCCAGGCCCCGCCACGCTGGAGCCTGCGGCGGAACCGCTGGAACCGCTCCCGATTCCGCGGGATCCCCCCCGCCCCCTCACCAGCGTGCACCGCGCGCTCCGGGCGCGGATGGGGGCGGATGGCGGTGGATGAGGGGCCGATGCCCCGGGCCGGTCTCGCCGCCGGTCCCGCCATGGCTCACACACGGCGCGCACGCCTCTGACATCACCGCGGCGCGCGGTGGCGCCGCCTGGCGGCAGCAGCGCACGGGGTGGGCGGGGTTAAAAGGGGGAGCGGCCTGAAAGCGCTGGGCGTGGCCACAGAACGTCACACAGCTGGGGGCGGGGTTACAGTGGGGGCGTGTCTGAGCGTGGGCGTGGTCAATGTTATTGTCCGTCACTATGGGCGTGGTCATATTATGGGCGCGGCCTCTGCGTCATGGGCGTGGCCACGGAGCCATTCTCCGCCGGAGGGGCGTGGCTTTGTTTTGGGGGCGTGGTCGGGGTCGGCGCGTGCGCAGGGCGGCGCGGTGCCCCCGGCGGCGGGCCGATGACGTCACGGGAAGGCGCCGCCCAAGATGGCGGCGGGGCAGCGGGGCGGGCGCTGAGGCGGCGGCGGGGCCGGAGCGGGAGCGGGGCCGGGATCGGCAGCGGGGGCGGGAGCGGGGCTGGAGCGGGACCCGGGCGGGCCATGGCTGCCGCCGCCGCCGCCGCGCGCTGAGGCCCCGCCGCGCAGCCAGGCCGGGATGCCCCGGGGGGGGCCCGGGCCGCCGCCGGAGCCATGGAGGAGGAGGGCAAGAAGGGCAAGAAGGTGAGAGCGGCGGCACCGCGGGGCCCTTCCGGGGGTCGCTCCCGAAGGCGGGACCTGCGGGGTCCCCGGCCCCGATCCCCCTTCTCGGGGGGTGCCCGGACCCCGCCCCCCCAAGAAAATCCCCCCGCTGTGAATGGGGGTATTGAGGAGATCGTTCATTGGTGGGGTTATTATTTATGAAGCTCTTAATTTGTGGGTTTGTTGACTCACTTAAATCAGCTCTTCACGTGAATCCATCTCATTTCCACAGCCGTTCGTTTATACCTCCCTACGTTTGTACTTTCTCGTGGGTCTCAGCAGCTCCCCCCGTTCCCACCTTGCCCTGATTTCCCTCCTTTCAGCCCATTTCTGGGTCCTGGGGGGGAGCTCACCCGATCCCGGAGCAGGGGGGTTGATCCCGTCATTTTGGGGAGGAATCAGCTGTTTGGGGGGTCCAGCAGGTTCCCCCTGAGCCTCTGCCTGGGGGCTGAGCCAAACATCCCCAGAGTGAGGGAACAGGGATGGATTTCTTGGGGAATTGCCATCCAGACTTCCCACGGAGCCAGAGCTGGGAGTTCACCCCCCCTGGAGTCACCTGGAGCCGTGGGGGCAGGAATTGCCTTCGTGGGGATGGGATGTGCCTGCCCCTGGGAAGGGCTTGGCTCCCGGTGCTCCAGGGGGTGTGGGGCGAGCCCAGGTTGGTGGTCCCTGGCGCTGGGAAGGGTCTGGGTGCTTGGACGTGTTTAGCTGATCCCTCTCCCTCTCCATCCCACCTGATGATCCCTCCTGTCCTCCCTCTGATCCCTCAGTCCTCCTCACGGCCCCTTCCCAGGCTGATCCCACGTTTTCCAGTCCCTTCCTGTGCTGGTGAGCTCCCTGAGCCCCCCCAAAGCTGTGGCAGCTCCTGGGCTGCTCCCTGCTGATGATCCATCCAAGGGCTGCAGCTGATCCAGAGCTTGCACGGGGTCCCTGGAGGAATTCTCTGTTAGAGTGAAATTCCTGACTTTTCCAGCTTGGGAATGCCCTGGGTGGATCCAGCCCTGTGCCCATCCCACAGCAGGGCAGGGGGGATCCTGCCCCTGTGCCCCCCCAGGTGAGACCCCCCTGCAGAGCTGCCCCAGCCCTGGGAACAGCAGCAGGAGGACGTGGAGCTGCTGCAGAGAGTCCAGAGGAGGCCCCGGAGCTGCTGCCAGGGCTGGAGCCCCTCTGCTCTGGAGCCAGGCTGGGAATGCTGGGGGGGTTCCCTGGAGAAGAGAAGGAGCCAGGGAGACCTGAGAGTCCCTCTGCTCTGGAGTTTGGGGTCCAGTAAAGTGGATTTGGGAGTGTCTGTGCTGTGGCTGCTGGGGGAGCAAAGAGCTGCCCGTGGGTACTGGGAGATCAGGAATGGGGTCATGGATAAACTTCCACTCTCTCAGGTTGCTCCAAGCCCCATCCAGCCTGGCCTTGGACACTTCCAGGGATCCAGGGGCAGCCACAGCTGCTCTGCCCAACCTGTGCCAGGGCCTCTCTGCCCTCCCAGCCAGGAATTCCTTCCCAATATCCCATCTCTCCCTGCCCTCTGGCAGTGGGAAGCCATTCCCTGTGTCCTGTCCCCCCATCCCTTGTCCCCAGTCCCTCTCCAGCTCTCCTGGAGCCCCTTTAGGCCCTGCAAGGGGCTCTCAGGTCTCCCTGGCTCCTTCTCTTCTCCAGGGGAACCCCCCCAGCTGTCCCAGCCTGGCTCCAGAGCAGAGGGGCTCCAGCCCTGGCAGCAGCTCCGGGGCCTCCTCTGGACTCTCCAGCAGCTCCTGTGGGAATGACTCCTGGCTCCCATTCCCAGAATGGCCCCATCCTCCTCAAACTGGCCCTCAGGTCTTGGGGTGCTGCTTCTCCAGCCACCTCCTCCTTCAGGGGGTTGTAGCCTCATTCCCAGCTTTGCTTTCCAAGTGTGAAACCTGAAACTCAGAACAGAATCATGGATTGATGGAATAGTTTGGGTTGGAGGGATCTCAAGGATCATCCGGTGCCACCCCTTGCCCACCTTCCGCTCTCTCAGGTTGCTCCAAGCCCCGTCCAACCTGTCCTTGGACAGCTCCAGGGCTGGGGCAGGAAGGAGCTTTCCAGCCTGTGACTCAGTGGATCATGGGATCGTTGATGTTGGAAAAGCCTCTGGCACCATCAGCTCCAACCTCTGGTCTCCAACCAGGAACTGGAGACAATCCAGCTGGGAACCCTGAGGAGAGCCCAGGGCTGAGCCTGCCGTGGGAGGGGGGCATTTCCCTCCTGCACCGAGGATTTGGGGTGTTCCCGGGGAGCTGGGGGTGCAGGAGGCGGGAGGGAAGGTGGGAATGGGTGGGAATGGGCTCGTGCTGCAGCCCCAGCACCGGTTCCCACCCACGGCCCCACCTGTCACGTGGGAGGGAGGAAGCTGTGGCCGGGGCACTTCCTGGCCCTGAGCTCCTCCATTGCAGCCCTGGCTCCCCCAAAACCAGGGGAACAGCCCCCCTTCCCCCCAGAGGCCTCCCCTCTTCCCCTGGCCCAGCTTGTGCCGTGCTCCCAGGGCATTCCATGGAGGACGAGGTGGGTGCAGGGCTCGGGGAGCCCCCAAGGCAGAGGCTGTTTGGGAGCTGCGTCACGGCGGGGGGGGTGCCTCCACCTGGGATTGGGGATCCCCAGATCCTCTCCCCAGAGAGCCTGGGGGCCTGGGATCATCCAAGACTGCCGCATGCCAGAGGGAAAAGGGTGTTTTTGTGGATTGGGGTGGATCTGGAGCCAGCTGGGGAAAGGGAAGTGTGTGGGTACAGCCTCCAACCCGGGGGGGGGATTCCTGTGTCACTCTGCTTTGAATTCCAAAAGGAGTCCTAGGGAATTGGATCCTTGTGCTTAGGCAGCCGAGGTTTGGGATGGGGCACCCTGGAGTTGGAGGGTGCCCAGACCCCTCTTCTTGGCAAACAGAACCTGCTGAGTCCAGGATTTCCTTCCCTCTGGAGTCCCAGTCCCTTTGCAGGGTTATGGAGTCACAGAATCATGGAATATCCTGATCAGGAATCATGGAGTCCTTCTCCTGGATGCTTCCCAAAAATCCACACTGCTGCTCCTGAGGCAGGGGCTGTGCATTGGTTCCTTCCCTTTTGTCCTATAAAATCCCTTTTTATCTCCCTGATCCAAGGGATGTTTTTCCAGGCCGCGCTGTCCCCGATGTCCTTGTGGCTGGTAATTCCCATTCTCCCAGGAGCTTTTCCTTGGTTTAGATTTAATTAATTCACCCTTGGAAGCACCTTCTCTGCCCCTGCAGATCCCACATTCCTTTCTCTTGGCTGTGGGGATCAGGAAAGCCGGGATGGGACTGTCCTGAGGGGTGGGAAGCAGAGGCCACCTGGGAATGGGGCACTGGAGCCACGTGGCTGAGGAGCTCCAAGGTCCAGCCATGGATCTGCCTGCTCCAAACACCCACTTCACCTGGAAACCCTGGGACTGGAGCAGTCTGGGGAGTTCCCAGTTGTTTATCCAGCGGGGACCTCGGTGGGATCCTCTTGGAATTCCCGTGCCGATGCCAAAGGTGCTCCCTCTCAGCAGGGAGTCCACCCATTAGCTCCAATGGTTTTCCAAACCCAGCACTTCAGGAACCACCCAGAGCTGTGTCTCCCAGGGAAATCCACTTTCTGGCTCATCTCCTCATGATTTTGGGTTTCCTTGGAATGCTCCTGTCTGTTCCTTGGGGAGTCTCCATAGCAGAAGGTACAAAACCTTGGAGGAACCCTCTGGATGTGCTCTTTACCTGGAATACACTGGTATTCCGTTCACCTGGAAGGCTGAAGGTGGAGACCTTGGGGGGACAAACACATTTTGGAATTGTGCGTGTTCAGCACTTGGGACACGTCCTAGGGAAGTGCTTTCCAGTGGAGAGCCGTGGATTTGTAGCTCCAGGCACAGAGTGCTGGAGCAGCAGGATGGGATCGAGGAGTCTCAGTGCCCTGGCCCCTGTCCCTCTCAGCCCCGTGCCCGCTTCCCTCCCCAGCCTGGGCTCGTGTCTCCGTTCAAGCGGGTGTTCCTGAAGGGCGAGAAGGGCCGGGACAAGAAGGCCCAGGAGAAGGTGACGGAGCGGCGGCCGCTGCACACGGTGGTGGTGCCGCTGCCCGAGCCCGTGGAGCCCGACCTGCTGCTGCACGACTACATCGAGAAGGAGGTCAAGGTACCACACCCCCTGCTCCCTGGGGATCCCTTCCCAGTGACCCCCCTGTCCACGGGAAACCATTCCCCACGTCCTGTCCCTCCATCCCTGTCCCCGGGCCCTCTCCAGCTCTCCTGGAGCCCCTTCAGGCATTGGAAGGGGCCTTCCCTTCTGCAGGTGGACATTCCCAGCTCTCACCTGTCTCCAGGTTTTCCTTGGAGCATCTCCATGGCTCCTCTGGGCTCCTTCCAAGGCTGTGTCCGTGCTGTGGTAACGCTTTGGCTCTTCTTTCCCAGTATTTAGGCCAGCTCACCTCCATCCCGGGATACCTGAACCCCTCCAGCCGCACAGAGATCCTGCACCTGATTGACAACGCCAAGGTGAGGGCTCACCTGCTCCAGGAATACCAGCAGGGAAAATCCACGGAGCTGGGCTTCGTCCAGCCAGTGTTCTCCATCCTGGTGTCCCATGGATGGGAGGGAAAGGCAAAACATCCCCGGGAGGGCACTGATGGACTGGAACGGGTTTCCCAGAGCGGCTGTGGGCGCCCCATCCCTGGAGGTGTCTGAGGACAGGCCGCAGCAGGCTGGGCTGATGGGAGGTGTCCCTGCCCGAGGCACGGAGCTGGCTGATCCCTGAGGTCCAGGCTGGGCTGATGGGAGGTGTCCCTGCCCGTGGCACGGAGCTGGCTGATCCCTGAGGTCCAGGCTGGGCTGATGGGAGGTGTCCCTGCCCGTGGCACGGAGCTGGCTGATCCCTGAGGTCCAGGCTGGGCTGATGGGAGGTGTCCCTGCCCGAGGCACGGAGCTGGCCGGTCCCTGAGGTCCCCCCACCCCCAAGGGTGCCGTGGCTGAGGCCGTGCCCACCCCTGTGCTGCAGAGGGCCCACCAGCTGCCGGGCCAGCCGAGCGCGGAGCACGACGCGGTGCTCAGCCTGTCAGCCTACAACGTGAAGCTGGTGTGGCGCGACGGGGAGGACCTGATCCTGCGCGTGCCCATCCACGACATCGCCGCCGTGTCCTACGTGCGCGACGACTCCGCGCACCTCGTCGTGCTCAAGACAGGTGAGCTGTGCCCCCCTGGGCTGGCAGGGCTGTCCCTGCCCGTGGCTGCGGGTGGGACCGGGGGGTCCTCGGGGCCTTTCCAAGCCGTGGGGGTTCCGTGGCACCCTGCGTGCCGGACCAGCCTGTCCGTGTGTGCTCTGGGAAGGGCTGAGCCAGGGATTTATCACATCACAAACCCCAGGGACGGGCTGTGGGATAAAGGAGAAGGTGCCTCAGGGGCTGGAATTCCACTGGTGGAACTCTGAGCTGTGGGAATGGCTGGAGATCTCCAGAGCTGTCAAAACAAACTGCAAAGTTGAGGCTTTTCACCCCCTTCTGCTCTGCCCCCCCCAAGATTCCTTCCTGTCCCCTCCCCACCCTGCCTTTCCCTCACTCCTCCTCTCCCCCCAGCTCAGGATCCCGGGATCTCTCCGAGCCAGAGCCTGTGTGCCGAGGGCTCCAAGGCGCTGACGTCGGGGTCGCTGTCGGAGAGCGCCGGGGGGCCCCTGGAGTGCTGCTGCCTGGTGGTCCTGGCCACAGAGAACAAGGTACAGCTCCCACCTGTCCAGGGAAACCCTGGTAGCTCCTGGGCATTGCTGCAACGGGATTGCTGGGAAGTTTCTGGCTCTTGGATGGGTGCGAGGGTGGAGCCACAAACTCCACAGCGGCCGCGGCTTGCGGTGTGTCCGGATCCTTCCCTGCCTCCATGCCCTGTGGGACACACAGGCCTGGATTGAGGGGTGCAGGTGTGGTTGAGCGTTGCTGGAGCACAAGGTGATACATGGAGAGGGACATGAGAGGGTCTCCACGGATGGTTTCCTTTGGTTCCTGCTGCCCAGAGCCTCCTCCAGCAGCAGAAAATCCCTGAGGACAACAATCCCGTAACGGGATTTTGCTGATCAGGGCGTTCTCCGAGTGCTGACCTGGGAGTTTGTTTCATCCAGTGTCTGGATCCAGAGATCCTGCTCTCAGTCTCTCCAGTCTCCACTCAGGGTGGAGTTTCATTCCCTGTGTTCCCAGTTGTGGCATTCCCTGGGCCACCTCCACCTCTCTGGGATGCGGGTGATGAGCCAGAATCCCAGGGAGCTGCACAGAGGAGCTTTGGCACAGAATGGGGGGACTCATGAGCAGATGCTGGAGCATCCCAGCTCCATTACCGGGGGAAGAGGGTTGGGATGTTCCTCTGGCAGCATGGGAGGGTCACAGGCCTCAGTTCCTCGTGGGAGACGACACCTGTCCCCCGGAGCTGAAGGGAGAGGCCAGCATGGGATTTCCCAAGGCTCCCTGCTCGTTCCCAGGTGGGTGCCGAGGAGTTGTGCTCCCTGCTCAGCCAAGTCTTCCAGATTGTTTACACCGAGTCCACCATCGACTTCCTGGACCGCGCCATCTTCGACGGGGCCTCGACGCCGACGCGGCACCTGTCCCTGCACAGCGGTGGGTGCTCCCAGCACCCCACACCCCCCCTCGGGGCAGGGACAGCCCCACTCAGCCAGTGCATGGGGTGGGAAAAGCCTCACAGAGCCCTGAGCCCACCCGTCCCTTGCCACTGACCCACGTCCCCGAGTGCCCCATCCACACGGATGTTAAATCCCCCCAGGGATGGGGATTCCACCCCTGCCCAGGGCAGCCTGGGCACCCCTTTCCATGATGGAATTTTCCCAGGATCCATCACAAACCTCCTGTGGCATGACCTGAGGCTGTTTGCTCTCGTCCTTCTGCTCGTTCCCGGCCTGTCCCCTGCCAGCAGAGTCGGGAGTCACGCTGTGTCAGGAATCGCTCTGCGTCGCTCCTGGGCTGGGAAATCGCCGGTTTCTACCTCTCACATTCCATGTCCCAAATTTTTCTCCTTCCAGATGACTCTTCCACCAAAGTGGACGTGAAGGAGCCCTTCGAGGCAGATGCCAGCACTTTGTAAGTGAGCCCTGGCCCTGGAGCTGGGATTAACCCTGGATCCGCTGCCTCTGGCACGGCGGGAAGCTCAGCCCGCCCCGCTGGGCCTCGGCGGGTGTTGGCACCGATCCTGTCCGGGCTTGGATTGTCCTGCCCTCAGCATTCCAGGGAAAGTCACGTCCACAGCGAGCAGCCCCTGTGTCAGCACAGCTCGGGCTCAATGGCTGATCAGCCCTGCTGGAGCTGGGGAGAAGGGTTTTCCAAAAAATCCCTTCATTTAGGAAACGTTTCTCTCCCAGATTGCTGTAAACCTCAACAGGGTTTGCGGGATGAAATCCCAACACACAATCCATTGGTTAGCGTGGAGGGGTGCTCTTGGAATATCCAGTGTTGAGGGGTGCTCTTGGAATATCCAGCTTGGCAGGATGTTCTTGGAATGTGCAACATTGAGGGATGCTCTGGGAATGCTTCATGTGGAGGAATTATGAACATTATTGGAAATTCACACCCTTAGCCCCAAAATGAGGATTTTGGGGATTTTTCCCAGTGCTGTTCCCAACAAGGAAGCACCTGGAGGGATAATTCCCTGTGTGGGGCTCTGTTATCATGGGGTCACCAAACCAGTGTTTGGCTCCATGGGGTCCTTGGGGTACCCTTAGAGGCTGGAGGCTTCCAGAATCATGGAATATCCTGGGCTGGGAGGGACCCCAAGGATCAGAGTCCAGCTCCTGGCCCTGCACAGCCCACCCCAAAATTCCAACCACCACGTGGCTCCCCACCCTTCCATCCCCTCCGTGCCCAGGGAGCTTCAGAGGACTCACCCTGTTGCGTGTCAGTTCCTTCCCAGACACCCTGGAGGCAGGAGACACGTCCCCATCCTCGCTGTCCGCGCGCCCGTCCCCGCACGTGACCACGGCCAGCGAGAGCGAGCTCAGCACCACGGCCACCGAGCTGCTCCAGGACTACATGATGACGGTGGGGCCTGGGCATGGCACCCTCCTGGGACTGGGGACTGTGGCCCTGGGGGGACGTGGGGTGTGGGAGCAGCTCATCCTCCTTTCCCAGCCCTGGCTGAGGGCTCATGTCATGGGATCTTGGAATGGTTTGGGGGCAAAGGGAACTTAGGGATCATGCAGTTCCACCCCGTGCTGTGGGCAGGGACACCTGCCACTGGCCCAGGGTGTTCCAAGCCCTGTCCAGCCTGGCCTTGGACGCTTCCAGGGATCCAGGGGCAGCCACAGCTTCTCTGGGAAGTCCATTCCAGTCCCTCCCCACCCTCCCAGCATTTCTTGCCAATATCCCATCTAGATCTCCACTTTTCCAATGGGAAGCCATTCCCTGTGTCCTGTCCCTCCATGCCTTGTCCCCAGTCCCTCTCCAGCTCTCCTGGAGCCCCTTTAGGCCCTGCAAGGGGCTCTCAGGTCTCCCTGGCTCCTTCTCTTCTCCAGGGGAACCCCCCAGCTGTCCCAGCCTGGCTCCAGAGCAGAGGGGCTCCAGCCCTGGCAGCAGTTCTGGGCCCTCCTCTGGACTCTCTCCATCTCCCACAGGAACATCCCCACCTTTGTCCCCTTCCCCCTGTCCAAAGTCACCTTATCCATAACTCCCAGCCCCAGTGACACCCAGAGCCTGTCACTGCTTTCCCATGGGGATGAGTGGGTCCCTGGCTGCAGCCAGGGCCATTCCCAAGCCTCCCACCCCCACCCCCCAGCTCCGGACCAAGCTGTCCTCCCAGGAGATCCAGCAGTTCGCGATGCTGCTCCACGAGTACCGGAACGGAGCCTCCATCCACGAGTTCTGCATCAACCTCAAGCAGCTCTATGGGGACAGCAGGAAATTCCTGCTCCTGGGTGAGTGCAGGAGAGCTCCAGAGGTGAGAACTGGGTGCTCAGGGACAGGCGGTGGGATGGGACCGAGGGGGAAAGGGTGTGGGCACAGGGAGGCCTTGGGGGTCACCACACCAGGGGAATGTCTCAATCCACCTCTCCTGTGGAGATTCCTCCTTCCTGAGGGCCACAGGACCATCTGTCCCAGCTTGTCCTGGTTGGAGTCCCTGCCTTGGAGCTGTTCCCTGTTCTCTTCTGGCTGTGGAGCACTGGGGAACCTCCTCCCAACCTGAGAATCTTCTCCAGACCAGGGAACTTAATCCAGACCTGGGAACCTCCCCCAGACCTGGGAATCAACTCCCAACCTGGGCTTAAACACCTGGGTCCTCTCACCTGGCCTTTACTATCCAAGGAAAAACAGGCCAGGAGTTTAAAATCCTGACAGGACAGGAACAGTTTGTCTGACCACACCCAGGGCCTCCCTCCTGACCTCTAATATCCAAGGAAAACAGGCCAGGAATTTAAAATCCCCCCAGGATTGAGGCAATGTGTCTCACCTGGACCCTGCTGGCCTGCGGGGACACCAAGGGGACAAGGCAAATGTCCCTGCTGGGACAAGTTATTGGGGTAAGCTCAGCAAAGCTAAGCGAGATGTTGGGTGAGGAATTAGATCCTTTGGAGTTCGGAAAACCCCCCTTGAGCCAGATTTTGGTCTCGGTGGGCGCAGGGCCCAGGTGTGAATGGGAGACCCTGGAGCTCTCCTGGAAGAGGAGGAGGCTCCTGGGCTCTCCTGGAAGGCTCAGGAGCCTCAGAAACACCGTGCAGGTGAGGGATCCCACGGATACCTGCCCCGAGCGCATCTCCACATCCCGCACTCCAGCCCTGTCCGTGCTCTCTCCCGGTCCAGGCCTGCGTCCCTTCATCCCGGAGAAGGACAGCCAGCACTTCGAGAACTTCCTGGAGACCATCGGGGTGAAGGACGGGCGCGGGATCATCACGGACAGCTTTGGGCGCTACCGCCGCTCCCTCGGCGCCGCCTCCGCCTCCAACGGCACCGGCGCCGCCGGCAGCTCCGACGAGCAGTCCGTGCCCTCTGAGGAGGACGAGTGGGACAGGATGATCTCCCACATCAGCAGCGACATCGAGGCGCTGGGCTGCAGCCTGGACAGGGACTCGTCCTGAGGGGCCACGGCTGGACACGGGGGGGCTGGGACACAGAGCTGCTCCCAAGAGGAACACGGAGCTGTCCTCAGAGGGACACCAGGACACGGAGCTGCTCCTGGGGGAACACAGAGGTGCCTTTGGGGGGGACACGGAACAAGGACCTGCCCCTGGGGGGAACACGGAGCTGCCCTCAGAGGGACACCAAGATATGGAGCTGCCCCTGGGGACCCCCCAGCAGCCCTCGGAGGGACCCAAGAACACCAACCTGTGCCCTCAGGGGAAAACACGGAGCTGCCCTTGGAGAGTCCTGGAACATGGATCCTTGTCCTGCAGGATTTGGGGGCTCCAGCAGGATGGAATCACTCTCCTGGCCTCCTTAACAGCTCCAGGGGCAGGAATGGCTCCAGTGTGGATTTGGGGGACAGCTGGATTTGGGGTGTGGATTTTTGGGGACAGATCTCTTTCTGAGCATTGAGGTCTCCTTCCAAGGGGAGGGGTCTCCCCCGAGGATGGATCTGCTCCTGAGCATCCAGTTCTCTTCCTGAGGGGCCAGACCTGCTCCCTCCCCAGTTTACAGTTTGCACAGCAGGTCCCCCATAACTGCCCTCCACCCCCACAATGAAGTTTTGCCACAATGTGAATCATTTCACCCTCTCGTCCCTGCTGTCAGAACATTCTGGAACATTCTGGCTCCCCCAGCAGGGGATTTCCCAGTCACCCCTGCCCATCCCTGGGGCCCTGGTGGGGGCAGGAGCTCAGGGGGAGCTGTTAGGGCACCCCAGGACTGGGAAGACCCCCAGAGCTTAATCCCCCAGCCACACCAGAGGGGTGCTGCCCCCCCCAAGAGTACCCGGGGATGGGCCCCCCACCCAGAGGCAGACGCTGACTCAGCAGTTTGGGGGATCTGCACCTCCAGCACATTCCAGCGGCTTCAGCCCCAAATCCAGCAGTGCCTTTAACCCTTCGGCACCCAGCGCCCTCCAGCTCACCAGCACCCTCACTGCTGTCTCCAGCTCACCAGCACCCTCACTGCTGTGTTCAGTTCACCAGCACCCTTACCTGCTGTCCCCAGCTCACCAGCACCCTCACTGCTGTCCCCAGCTCACCAGCACCCTCACTGCTGTGTCCAGCTCACCAGCACCCTCACTGCTGTCTCCAGCTCACCAGCACCCTTACCTGCTGTCCCCAGCTCACCAGCACCCTCACTGCTGTGTCCCCAGCTCACCAGCACCCTTACCTACTGTGTGTCCTCCACCATTACCTTTACTGGTGTCTTCCCCCCTCACCCTTAACTGGTGACCCCCACTCCCTTCTCCCGGGAGTCCCCCAGCCCCTCCTCCTCCTGGAATTTAGGGGTGCTGGAAGCTGAGTGATCCCAGGGACTCACCTGGGGGGCACAGAGGAGGCCCCTCCCACAGCTCTCCCTGTTCTGAGGCTAAGAAACTGGGGTCAGGAAGGGGGGGACAAAGCAGGGGGACTCCAGGTCCCTGGGATTTGGGGAGCAGGAATTCCTTCCCTGAGAGCTGGGAGAGTTTCCTTCCCATCGTTAAACCCTTTGGGAAATTAGGAATTTCAGGAAAACCCCTATTTTTGAGAGGATCCAGAGATCTCCAAACAGCTCATGGGGCAGTGGGGGATGTTTCTGTATTTCCATGGGAAATGGGATTAAATTCTGGGAATACCCCAGAGCTGCAGTGTCCTGGCAGGTCTGCCACGCTCCCAATTGACCCCCTAAATCTGGGGGGGAAGGGTTAAACCCTGACCCCCAGTTGTGTTGGGAACACCCTGGGGCACTGCCATCCCCTACCCCTAGCACCATGAGAGCCCCAAAAGCTGCCCAGCCCGCTGTCCCTCACCCTCCCCATCCCAGTCACAACCCCCCGACCCCACTGCTGGAAAAGGGACTCCCCAGGCCCCCCAAAATCATCACAGGGGGGCCAGGTGCGATCCAAGGAGTGCAGGAGGCCTTTATTGAGCGGTCCAGGGGAGGAGGAGGGGGCTGGGGGCAGGAGGAAGGATCTGGGGGGTCTCTGTGCATCTCTACAGGGGGCCGGGCCAGCCCCGGCGCTACATGGTCAGCTCCTGCGGGAGAGACAGCGAGTCAGGGACCCCGGGGGGCACAGCCCCAGCTCCTGCTGGGCAGGGGTCCCAGCCCCACCCCCAGCAGGGAGGGGTCCCAGCCCAGCCCCACTCACCATGATGGCGTTGACGATGTCGTTGTTGTTGTGCCGCAGGGCCCGCACGGCTTTGGGGCGGGACACGTTGGCCTGGGCCATCACCAGCTCGATGTCCCGCACCTCCAGCCCCGTCTCGTCCACCTGGGCGGGGCACGGCGCTGTCACCCTCCAAAGGCACCCGCCCAGGGCTTCAGGGGTCCCCCAGCACCCACCCTGGGAGCCCCTCTGTGTCCCCCCCCAGGGCACATCACATCAGCCTGGGCCATCCCCAGCTCCGTATCCTGCACCTCCAGCCCCGTCCCGTCCCCATGGGGGGCCCACAGTGCCTGTCACCCCCCCACAGTGACCCCACAGGACCTTGGGGTTCCTTCAGCAAACCCCATGGACCCCCCCATGCCCCCTCCCAGGGTACGAGACCATAACCTGAGCAACCCCGAGCTCCACGTCCTGCCCCTCCAGCCCTATCCCATCCACCTGGGGAAGGAACAGCTCCATTACCCCCCCCTTAACTTCCCGGGGGTCCCCGAGCCCCCCAGCACCCACCTCCTCCTCCTCCTCGCTCTCCTCCTTGATGGCGAGGGCAGGGGTGGCGTCCGTGACCAGGGCCGAGTGTTCCAGCGGCACCTTGAACTTCTCTGCTGCCGCTTTGTGCACTTGCTGGGACAGGTCCTCGATCTGGGGGGGCACAGGCGGTCACTGCCAGCCCCCCCGGGCAGGAACAGCCTCCCCCCTGGGCAGGGACAGCCTCCCCCCCGGGCAGGGACAGCCTCCCCCCCGGGCAGGGACAGCCTCTCCCCAGCCCCCAGCCCACCTTGGCCTCCCCAAAGACGATGTAGATGTCGGAGGCGGGGCTCTTGAACACGTCGGGCTTGGAGATGACGAACAGGATGTTCTTGGACTTGCGGATGGTGATGCGGGTGACGCCGTGGATCTGCCGCAGCCCCAGCTTGGACATGGCCTGGGGGCACGGGGGGCACAGGGTGACCCCCTGCACAGCAGCCTAGGGGGGCTCCGGTCCCCCCAGGGGCACCCCAAATCCCCAGGACAACGGGGAAACTGGGGATAGAGGACATTGTCCCCGGCACGGCCAGGATGGGACCCCCAACCCAGGGTGGGGACCCCCAGACACTCCCCCGTGTGGCCTGGAGAACCCCCGGGAGTGGGGACTTGAACCCCAACATGCCAGAACTAACCCCCCCCAAACCTGGGGTGAAATAATGACCCCAACCCCATGGGTGACCCCAATCCCACCCCAGAGTGGGACCCTCAGAGTGGGGACCTGTCCCCCAACACCCAGAAAAGACCCCCCTGCCCATATGCTGGGATGGTGATCCCAACCCTACAGGGGAGCCCCACACCTCTGGGGAACCCACAGCCCACAGTGACCCCCCAGTTCCCCGTGGGACCCCCAGTTCCCCATGGGACCCCCCACCTTCCGGGCCTTCTTCTCGCTCCGGCTCTGCTTGGCCTTGCTCAGCGGCTCCTCCCCGGGGCCCAGCGCGTGGCCCAGGGGCACCTGCAGAGAGGGGGGGTCAGGGGGGCCCCCAGCACCCCCGGGGGGGCCCCCCCAACCCCAAGGCCCAAACCCCCACCTGGGGCTGGGCGGGGGGCAGCTCTGAGCCCTCGGGCTCCTCCAGCTCCGGGATGGACTCGTCGTTGCTCTCGGATTCATTCCCGGACCCTGGGAATGAAGGGGGGAGGTGAGAGGGGGCCCTGAGACCCCCCGACCCCGGGGGTACCCAGGGCCCCCCCCTCACCTCGGTGGTTGGGCTGGCAGCGCTGGGGGGCCGGGGGGGCCGGCTCGGCCCGGGGGGTCTCAGCCTCGCTGGACGAGCTCGACTCCGACTGCAGAGACCCCGGGGCCCGGCCTCCCAGCCCCCAGCCCCACTGCTCGGCCCCGCGGCTCTGGCTCCTTCTGCGGGGGGCTGGGGGGCTGCGGGGACAGGGGCTGAGCCAAGGGGGGCAGAGCCAAGGGGGCCCCAAAACTCCTTTGGGGGTCAACCCCCCTGCTCACCCCCATCACCCACCCCGGGACCACCCCGAAGGCACCTCCACTCCTCGGGTGCCCCCCTGGTGCCAAGAAGTACCCCCAGGGGGGTGGATAGTACAAAACCTGCAATGGGGATGAACCCCCCACTTACCCCCATCACCCACCCAGGGACAGTGTCCTCCCTCCCCCACAAAGGCACTCCCAGCCCCCCTGGGTGCCCACCCTGACCCCACACAATCCCTTATGGCAGTGGGAGGGGGGGCTGAGCTGGGGAGCCCCCAGAACCCCTCCATAGGCCTGAACCCCCCAGAGACCCTCCCCAGTCCCCCCACAGGTGATGCCCACCCCAGACCCACAGCCACGGAAGAAGCTGCTGGGGGGTCTCTTACCTTCGAGATGCTTCCTGGAGGGGGCAGCCCCGGGGAGCTCCTGGCAGGGAGGGCCTGGGGGCCTGGGGCCAGCAGGGACACGGTGGCAGGAGGAGGCACTTGGCTGAGTTTGGGGGCACAGGGCAGGGGGCTCGGGGGCAGTCGGCTCCTGGAGGGGGACCTGCTGAGCCCCCACAGCGAGCAGGGGGCTGGAGGAGACCCCTCCCACCACCTCCTCTTCCTGATGCTGCTCAGGGGAGCTGGGGGAGCTTGGGCGGCTGGGGGCTCGGGGGCCACCCTCACCCGGGACTTTGGCATCGGTGCCCCCTTCAGTGGGGCCGGGGGCTCAGGGCCCGGCCGGGGGGTGGGGGGCTCCTGCAGGGGCAGGGGAAGGTCCCCGAGGGCTCCCCGGGGCAGGGCAGAGACCCCCGGGCCAGCCCCGTGCCCTGAAAAGGCACCGGGTGGTGGGAGCAGTTCGGGGGGGGCCCCCACAAACACCTCCCGCTCTGAGGCCGTGAACAGCTGCAGGGGGGCTGCAGGGGCGGGACCCTCATCCTCCTCCTCCTCTTCCTCCTCCTCCGATGGCTCCCCGGGGGGGCCAGGGGGGTCCTCCCTGGCGCTGTCGAAGCTGGAGGCGGTGCAGGAGCGAGACACATCCGGCAGCTCCGGGGATGAGCCCTCGGACGAGGCGGTGGCCACGTCCCTCCCCACCTCGGGGGGCTCAGGGACCTCCCTGGGGGGCTCAGGGACCTCCCTGGGGGGCTCAGGGACCTCCCTGGGGGGCTGTGACAGTGACCCCTGTGACAGGGGACACGGGAGGGCAGCTGGGGGCTCGTGGGATGGGGCCACCTCAGCTGCCAGCACCACAGGGGACACGGGCTGGGGGCTCGGGGTCACCGGGGCAGTGCCCGTGGTGGCCATCGGGCTGGAGGTCACCGGGTCAGTGGCCGTGTCATCCAGCAGGGGTGGTGTCACCGGTGTCACCGGCTCGGTGTCCCTGGTGTCCATCAGGCTGCAGGTCACTGGTGTCACTGGGGCAGTGGCTGCAGCGTCCATCTGATCCAGCGGGGTTGGTGTCACCGGGTCGGTGGCCACAGCGTCCATCAGGGTGGGTGTCACTGATGTCACCACATCAGTGACCACAGCATCCTTCAGGGTGGATGTCACTGGTGTCACCAGATCAGTGTCCATCTTGTCCAGCAGGCTGGGGGTCACTGGTGTCACCAGGTCAGTGGCCACGGTGTCCAGTGGGGTTGGCATCATCAAGGTGGTGGGCACTGTGTTCAGCTCAGCTGGGGGGCTCACTGTCACCAGGTCAGCGTCCGCAGCGCCCATCTCGTCCAGTGGGGTTGGTGTCACCGGTGTCACCAGGTTGGTGGCCGTGCTGTCCATCAGGCCAGGTGTTGCTGGTGTCACCACTGAGGTGCCTGCAGTGTCCGGCTCATCCAGAGGGGTTGGTGTCACCAGGTCAGTGGCCACAGTGTCCAGTTCATCCAAGGGGCTGGGTGTCACCATGTCAGCAGCTGCAGTGTCCGCTGGGCTGGGTGACACCGGTGTCCCCTGGTCAGTGGCTGCAGCGTCCAGCTCATCCAAGGGGCTGGGTGTCACTAGTGTCCCCAGGTCAGTGGCTGCTGTGTCTGGAGGGCTGGGTGTCACCTGTGTCACCGGTGTCCCCAGGTCAGTGGCTGCAGTGTCCAGCTCATCCAAGGGGCTGGGTGTCACCTGTGTCACCAGTGTCCCCAGGTCAGTGGCTGCAGTGTCTGGTAGGCTGGGTGTCACCAGTGTCCCCAGGTCAGTGGCTGCAGTGTCTGGCGGGCTGGGTGTCACCTGTGTCACCAGTGTCCCCAGGTCAGTGGCTGCAGTGTCTGGTAGGCTGGGTGTCACTGGTGTCCCCAGGTCAGTGGCTGCTGTGTCTGGCAGGGCTGGGTGTCTCTGGGCTGATGGCTGTGCTGTCCATCGGGCTGGGTGTCACCGGTGTCCCCAGATCAGTGTCCGGCTCATCCAGAGGGGTTGGTGTCACCATGTCAGTGGCCACAGTGTCCAGCTCACCAGGTGGGCTGGGTGTCACTGGGCTGGTGACCACAGTGTCCATCTCATCCAGGGGGATCGGTGCCACAGGTGTCACCAGGTCATTGTCCACGGCGTCCATCGGGCTGGGGGTCACCAGTGTCTCCAGGTCAGTGTCCAGCCCAGGCATCCCTGATGTCCCCAGGTCAAGCTCTGCAGTGTCCATCAGGCCAGGTGTCCCCAGTGTCACCTCCTCGGTGGCCGCAGTGTCCGTCTCATCCAGGGGGGTTGGTGTCACCGACGTCCCCGGGCCGGTGGCCTCAGTGTGCAGCTCTCCATGGCCATCGGTGCTCCCTGCTCTCCCTGTGCTGAGCTCAAGGTCACTGTCACCGTTGTTGTCACCCCCAGGGCTGTCTCGGGGCTCTCCACTGGCCCACCCCAGCCGGTGGCTCTGGGGGTCCCTGGTGCAGAGCCCGGGGGGCCGGGGGACACCGACTGTCAGTGCTGGCTCTGGGCAAGGTCCTTGTCCCAGCACTGCCACTCCAGAACTTTCTGTCACCTCCTCGGGGGGCTCCAGGGGGGGCCACTCCCCCCACGGGGACAAAGGCGTGGCCGTCCAGCTCCGTGTCCCCTTTGGGCGGTCCTGGGGGGGTCCCTACGGACCCGGGGCCCATCCCCTCTCCGGGGGGGTGACACGGGGACCCAGCGTGAAGGTGGAGCTCGACGCCGGGGGTGGCCGTGGGAGCGGTGGGGGTGCCCGGGGGGGTGGCCGTGCCCCCCGCGTGGCGCTCGGTGCCGTAGAGCCGCTCGTCCTCGTCCCCGTCGTAGGCGGCCGAGTCGGACGAGGCGTCGGTGTCGTCGCGGAAGGCGAAGGCCTCGTCCCCCCCCTCGGGGATGGAGCTCTCGGACAGCGAGCGCAGGAACGAGGCCGAGGTGCTGCCTTCGTCCTCGTCCTCCTCCTCCTCCTCCTCCTGCCCGTCCCGGTCCCGGGGCGGGGCCCGGGGGGAGATCTCCACGGCCTCGGCCTGGAACAGGAGGCTGCCCCGGAACGGCAGCAGCGCCGCTGGGATCAGCCCCGACACCTCATCTTCATCCTCCTCTTCATCCTCCTCCGGCGTCTGCCCGTCCTCGTCATCCTCATCATCCTCACAGCCCGGGGGGGCAAAGGAGCCGTCCTCATCCTCCTCATCCTCCTCCTCGGGGGACAGCGGGGGGAAGGCCGGGGGGTCCCCCAGGCCGGGGGGCAGCAGCAGGGCCCCCCCCAGGCCCTCGGGGTCCCCCTCGGGGTCCCCCAGCCCTTCGGCCTCGGCCGCCAGGTTGGGGGAGCAGGAGGGGGAGGTGCTGGCGGTGCCCGAGGACCCCCAGCTGCCGCCCTCGGCCGTCATGTAGGAGCCCGAGGGGGAGGTGGGGGGCGAGCACAGCCCCTCGCTGTCCCCGTCCGTGGCTTCCTCGGGGGGGGGCGGGGCCCCCCCCGCCCGCACCGGCGTCGAGGGGGCCGTGAAGAACAGCTCGGGGTCCAGCGCGGGGGGGCGGCCCGGGAGGGGCTCTTTGGGGCGCGGGGAAGGGGCAAGGCACTGGGGGCCCCGGGGCTCGGGGGCGGGCAGCGGGTCTCTCCCCATGACGATGCGGGTGTCCAGGGGTCCGCGGGAGGGGGCCGGCAGGGAGAGCCGGGGGGCGGCGGCAGGGGGCCGGGGTCGCAGCTGGCCCCCTCGGGGGGGGGACGGGCCTCCTCCTTGGCCGGCATCGGCGGGGGCTGCGGAGAGAGGGGACAGCCCTCAGTGCCACGGACCCCCAGTCACCACGGGGAGGGGAGACCCCCCCCCTCAGTGCCACAGACACCCCCAGTCACCACGGGGAGGGGAGACCCCCCTCAGTGCCACGGACACCCCCAGTCATCACGGGAGGGAGACCCCAGGGTCCTGGACCCCCAGGGCCAGTCCAGGATCGGGGGGGGAGGGGTCACCCAGGGCACTGCCTAGGGGGGTTGGTGTCACCCCTCACCCAGCCGGGGGTGACTCCCTCCCAAAGTAGTTGTTGGGGGGTCCCCCAGGGTTTGGGGACAGCAGGAGGGACACCAGCAGCTCCCCCTCCTCAGACCCCTGAGTGGGGGCAATAAAGCTGCAGCTACATCAAGGGGGCCCCCCACAACGCAGGGGGACCCCCCTTTACAGCCCCCTCCCCAGAGAGTCCGTGAGTTGAGGGGTGCTCAGTCCCCCACTGCACACTCGGGAGGGGGGCAGCCTCTTCTCCCTCCCCAAAACCAGCCTGTGGGACCCCCCCACGTTACCTGGACCCCTTTCCCCGTTACTGGGGACCCTCCCCAACTAACTGTGACCCCTCCCCCATTACCTGACCCCCCTCATCCATAGTACCTGGGCCCCCCAGGGGTGGATCCATATGGAGGGAGCAGTTGGACCCCACGGGACACCCCAAACCTGCAGCACCGGCCCCCGCCCCCGGGGTATATAGGGAGGGCGGGGCGGCGCGGGGCGTGCCGGGAGGGGCAGGGCCTGACAGGGGTGTTTGCGGGGCAGGTGTCGCTGTCCCCCCCCACTCTGAGATGGTTCAGTCCAAGCCCCCCCCTTCTCCCCCCTCCACGTGCTGCAGGAACTCCAGGTTCATGGGGGAGGGTCACCCACCAGGGGTCCTGTACTCCCCTCCCACCGCCCGAGTCATTTTGGGGGATGATTCTGACCTATAATGGGGGGGCTGCTGAGACCCCCTTAACGCAGCCCTTCCTTCGCCCCTGCCTGGCCCGGACACGCCCACAGTTTGGGGGGATGTTTTGGGGGTCCCCCTTGTACCACCTGGAGGGGATGCCCTAATTCCCCCCCCCCGCACAAACCGGACCCTCATCCCATTTTGGGGTCCCCCTCGACTCAGCTCCAAAGGCCCAGGGGAGGTGACACGGGCTCTGTCCCTTCGATCCCCCCGGAAGGTGACGGTGGTCCCCGGGGACACCGGTACGAGGTGACCTTGGACTGTGCCTCAGTTTCCCCACCAGGTGGTCCCGAGGGTGGGATGGTGCTGGGGGGGAGGTGAGGCTCAGCCCCCCCAGTCCCACCAGCACCGCGCAGTACAGGGATAGGGTGGGGGACAACCCGCCGCCGACCCCCCGGGGCTCCGCGGGGTGAAGGAGGGGCGGCCCCGAAGTGGGGTTCCCAAAGTCCCTCCCTGGGGGGCCGTGCCGGTGCCCCCCGGCTGTGCCGGGCCCGGAGCCCCGGGCGGTGGCGGCTGCCGAGAGCCGGGCCCGCGTCCTGCAGCGCTCCCGCTCCATCCTCATCCTCCGGCTCCATCATTCCAGCCTGTCCTTCATCCCCCCGCTCCATCCTCATCCCTCCTGCTCTGTCCTCCATGGCTCCTTCTCCATCCTCATCCTCCAGCTCCATCGTTCCCACTCTGGCCCTCGTTCCCCCGCTCCATCCTCATCCTCCAGCTCCATCGTTCCCACTCTGGCCCTCATTGCCCCGCTCCACCCTCATCCTCCAGCTCTGTCCTTCATTCTCCCGCTCCTTTCCCCTGCTCCATCCTCATCCTCCCATCCCGCACCCCTCCCTCCCGCTCCGTCCTTCATCCCCCTGCTCCATCCTCATGGCTCCATCCCGCACCCCTCCACCCCTCCCGCTCCGTCTTTCATCCCTCCAGCCCCATCCTCATGGCTCCGTCTCCATCCTCCCTTCTCCACCCTTCATCCCACCGGCTCCATCCTCATCCTCCCGCTCCGTCCTTTCCGCTCCGTCCTTCATCCTTCCGGCTCCGTCCTTCACCCCTCCGAGTCATCCTCGTCCCCCCGCCCCATCCCCATCGCCCCCCTCCATCCTCACCCTCCTGCTCCGTCCCCCGCCCGTTCTTCATCCCCCAGCCCCGCACCCCATCCCATTCTTCCAGCTCCATCCCAGTCACCCCACGCCCCGGCCTCACCTGCCTCCGCTCCCTCCGGCATCCCGTTCTCCTTCTCGATCCGCCCCCGGCGGATTTCAGAGATTCTCCGGTGTCGGCGCTGCCCGCAGCCCCCGGCGCGGCCCCCGCCGCCCCGCTCGGGCGGACGCGGCTGCGGCGGCAGCGCCGGAGCATCAGCGGGGCGGGGGCGGGGGCGGGGGCGCGGGGGCTCGGCCCTGCACCCCGCTGATGTCAGCGGGAATCGTGTCCCGCCCGCCCCGCTCTGTCGCGATACGGGGTCTGTGCCGGAGGGCGCTGCGGCAGGAGGGGAGGTCGGGGGCTCAGGAGCCCACCCAGCGCTTGCATCAGCTCCGGGGGCGGCGGGGGCAGGACCCGGCCTCAGTTTCCCCCACTTTGTCTCTTAAAAAAGGGGGATGAGCCTCCCGCGGGGTCCTGGTGGGATTGGGGGGGGCCACAGGGCGGAGCCCCCCTGAAAGCGTCTGCGCGTGTGTGGTGACACCGCGGGGGAGGGGGGACACTCGGACCTGCGTGCCCCCCCCGCATGTCCCCGCAGCCCCAGGTGCCACTGCCGGGGGTGCAGGATGGGGGGCGGGGGGACGCGCGTTACCACGGGAACGGCTCTTCCCCTCCCCCCGTCTCCCTGAGGATGGGGAGGAGGATGAGGAGGAAGTCCCTGGGGGAGACACACACGACTCCCCGCACAGCGCGGTGGGAGGGGGTGATGCCCGGGAGGCACCGGACACCCCCAGGTCCCCCGTCCCGGCTGGGGCCGTGTCACCCCACGGGGACCCCCCATAACCCCCCGAGGGACGCGGGGCGGGGGCGAGGAGCTGAGGCGCGGGCACGCGGAGCGCTGCCAGGGCCCCCGGGCTCCGTCACCCCCGGGCACTGTCCCCCCCGGCACTGTCCCCCCCGGGCTGGCACCGAGGCCGCGCTGCCGGTGCCAGGCACGGGCACAGCCCCAGCGGTGACTCAGCAGCTCCGGCCCCGCCGGGTCCCCCCTGTCCCCGTGTGTCCCTCCCGGGGGTGGCCGGGCTGTGCCCCCCCTGTCACCGAGCGCCCTTCCCCCAGCCGGGCCGTGTTTCCCCGAGGGTCGGAGGGGTCCCGGGCCAGGTGGTCGCTAATCCGCCCCTGAAGCCCCTCCCGGCCCCGCTGCGTCACTCCCGAGAATTGTCCTGAGCCACCCTGTCCCCCACCGTATGGGGACACGTGGCCTGAGGGACACGGGGACACCGTGGGGTTCTGGGCAGGAGAGATCCCTCCCTCCCCCGAAATACCGGGGCCCCCTTCCCTCTGCTGCTACTCCCCATCCCAGCGCCGGGGCCTGCGCTGGCCCCATCCCTGTCCCCCCCGCGGACAATCCCGGGATAATCGGGAATAAAGGCCAGGTGGCTCCTGATCCCGATCCCGGCTCAGACCGGCGGCCCCGGGCATGGCGAGGGGAGGGTGGAACGCGGGGAGGACACACAAGGGTCAGGTCCCACCCAGGAGCGGGCACTGCCACGTGCCACCAACACCGGTGTCACCTGGCAGTGACGCCATCTGACCCCCCTGTCACCCAGAAGTGATGTCACTTGGCCCCAATGTCACCCATCCCTGATGTCACTTGGCCCCAGTGTCACCTGGCCCCAAGGTCACTTCACCCTGATACCCACTGGCACTGGTATCTCCTGTCACCGGTATCACCTGGCCCCAATGTCACTCAGCTCCACTGTCACCTGGCACTTGATGCCATCTGGCCTGTTCCCAATGCCACCTGTCCCCAATGCCACCCGTCCCCAATGTCACCCATCTCCAATGTCACCCATCTCCAATGTCACCCGTCCCCAATGTCACACGGCCCAATGTCACCCATCCCCAATGTCACACAGCCCAATGTAACCCATCCCCAATGCCACCCATCCCCAATGTCGCCCATCTCCAATGCCACCCGTCCCCAATGCCACCCGTCCCCAATGTCACCCATCTCCAATGTCACCCATCTCCAATGTCACCCATCCCCAATGCCACCCATCCCCAATGTCACCCATCCCCAATGTCACCCATCCCCAATGCCACCCATCCCCAATGCCACCTGTCTCCAATGCCACGCGGCCCAATGTCACTGTGCCCCAGCCACTGTCCCTGTACATTCGGGGTTTATTTGAGCCGTTTGTGACACGGAGCAGCAACGCTGGAGCCACCTGGGGACACGAGGACCTCGCTGTGGCCACCTGGCCCCACCTGGGCACAGTGACCCGGTGAGCGGCCACCTCAGTGCGGTGACGCGGCCAGCTGGGCACGGCGACTCGGCCACCTTGGCGCGGTGACCCGGTGACCTCGGCGCGGTGAGCCGGTCACCTTGGCACAGTGGCACGGCCCCCCGGCCGGGTGAGGCGGCCCCTGGGCAGGGCTAGGCGGCCGTGTCGGGGGCCGTGTCGGTGGCCATGTCGCTGGCCACGGCCTTGGCCACCTTGTCCCTCAGGTAGGACACGCGCTGCCGCTCCAGCTTCAGCTCCAGGAACTCGTAGTGGGGCACCTGCGGGGAAGGGGGGAACAGGAGCCCATGGGGGACCAGGGCTGTGCCCACCCTGTGCTGGGCCTGCCGGTCCCACTGCAGCCACCTGGGGGTCCCGGCTGTGTCCCCAGCACATCCTGGGGGCCCAGCGCCCACCCGGGGGTCCCAGTGCCCACCCAGGAAGGTCTCAACACCTACGTGGAGGGTCCCAGAGCCCACCTGGAGGATCCCACCACCCACCCAGGGGAGACAGTGACGCTGGAGGGGGGTGACAGCGATACCAGGGGCTGACAGTGACACTGTGGGGGTGACACGTGGCCGTCACCACCCCCAGGGCTATAATTACCCTGGGGGTTTAATCCTGGCTGACCCCACAGGATCAGCCCTAAGAGCTCGTCTGTGTCACCTCCCTGTCACCCCCCCGTCACCTGGCAGGTGGCCCAGGGGGATCACAGCAGCTTATCCCTGCTGAGCCCTGGGGAGGGGGAAGCTGGCAGCCCCCCAAAAGGTGTCTGTGCCTCCATCCCCACAGAACCAGGTGTGCCCAGGTGGGTGATGACACTCAGCTGGTTGTCACCACAGTGTGGCCACAGGGACTGGGCACAGGTGAGGCCACACCTGAGTCCCGGGGGCACCTCACAGGGTGGGGGTCAGGCTCTGCTCCCAAGAGGGAATGGGCTCAGGTGGCACCTGGGGACGTTCAGGTGGCATTGGGGAGTATTTGGGGGATGTTTTTGGAATGTTCCTCCTGGAAAGGGCCGTGTGCGTGTGGCAGGTGGGGACAGGTCAGGGGTGTCCGGGACAGGTCAGGGGTGTCCCCGCAGTGTGAGCACACACAGGTGGTGGGGGTGCCCAGGTTTCCCAGCTCACCTCCACCAGCAGGAAGCCGGCCCTGTGCAGGTGGCGCCGCGCCAGAGCCCCCCGGCCCAGCAGCTCCCGGCCCCGCGAGCTGAACTGCGGGAACTCCCAGCGCACGAAGGCCACCCTGGGGACACGAGGCTGAGCACAGTCACCACCCAGAGCACCCACACCCCAACCCTGCCATGGCAGAGCTGCCCCTCTCCTCTCACCTCCTGTCCTCCCTCCTTTTCCTCTCCTTGTCCCCCTCCTGTCACCTCTTCTCCCCCACTGTCCCCTTCCTGTGCCCCTCGTCCCCCTCCTTCCCCTCCTGTCCCCCCCCTCGTCCCCACCCCGAGTAATCCCCCAACCCTCATTCACCTCCTGGCCCCTGGGGGCAGTGCCTTTGTCCCCTCTTGTCCCCCTCTTCTTCCTCCTGCCCTGCTCCTTGTCCCCACACTGTCCCTTCTGTTTCCCACCCACCTCCTGGCCCCTGGGGACAGTAGCTGTGTCCCCTCCCCACCTCCTGGTCCCCAGTGGCAGTGGTTTTGTCCCCTCCTGTCCCCTGCCCACCTCTTGGCCCCTGGGGGCAGTGGTTTTGTCCCCTCGGAGTGGGACAGGTGGGGGGCAGTGAAGTCCCCCACAGGCAGCGGTTTGTTGTCTCTGTCCAGCACCACCTCGGCATCTGTGGGGACACAGGGGACACGGGGACTCAGAGCCACCCGAGGGCCCTCTCTGACCCCCATCCTGGGCAGGGGCATGTCCGTGGGGATCCGTCCCCCTGTCCCACAGGACAGGGCAGGGGGCACTTGGAGCACAGAGGTTGCTGTGGCAGCCGGTGGCCGGTCCCCGACACGGGGGGACAGGGACCGAATTTGACTGGGCTGCGAGGGCTGGGGGACAACAGGGGAAGGTGACAGGGGAGTGACAGGGCTGGGGATACCTGGGAGCACCCGGGGGTGCCCAGGGAAGGTGACAGGGCTGTGGGTGTGTGGGGCCCCCGGGGGAGGTGACAGGGTTGGGAGTGCAGAGGTGAAGGCAACAGGCCCAGAATACCCAGGGGTAGCTGGAGGTGCCTGGGGAAGGTGACAGGGGAAGGTGACAGGGCTGTTGTTGCTCAGGGCAGGTGACAGGGCTGGGGGTGGCAGGGGGTGCCCAGGACAGGTGGCAGGTGACGCAGGGGACACTCACCGATGTCCCACCCGAACACCGTGCGCACGTCGTAGCGCCCGAGGTCGCTGCCGCCCAGAGCCCCCGGCAGCGCCTCCCGCAGCCCCCGCTGCAGAGGGGTGGCCTTGTCCTTGTCCTTGTCCCCATCCCCGTCCCCCCCCAGCGCCTCAGGGGGCAGGAAGGGCCCCCGGTAGCCCGGGGTCTCCAGCCGGGCCGTGGCGTTGATGTGCACGAGCTTCAGCCACGAGCTCTGTGCCCGCGGGGACGCGTCACCTGTGGGGACAGCGGGGACGGCTCAGGGACACCCACAGCACGGGGGAACGGCCTCAGGTGAACCAGGGACACTGGGAACGTTCCTCCTGGACAGGGCTGTCCAGTCCCAGGTGTGGAGGTGGCACTGGGACACCGGTTGTGTCCCCAGGTGCAGGGGAACCGGTGAACTCCAGCACCTGGGAAGCCCTTCCCAACCCCAAGCATTCCCTGATCTCATGTCCCCAGTGGGATTCACCCCCCAGGTCCCACGGGAGGGGACCTGGGGCTCGTGGGCACGGAGGTTGCTGTGGCAGCCGGTGGCCGGTCCCGGCCATGGGCAGGGCAGGGACCGAATTTGACTGGGCTGCACCTGCCCAGCACTACCTGTGGGACAGGTAACTCCCCCCAACCACCTGTGGGACAGGTAACTCCCCCCAACCACCTGTGGGACAGGTAACCCCCCCAACCACCTGTGGGACAGGTAACCCCCCCAACCACCTGTGGGACAGGTGACTCCCCCCAACCACCTATGGGACAGGTGACCCCCCAAACCACCTGTGGAACAGGTGACCCCCCCAAACCACCTGTGGGACAGATGAACCCCATCAACCACCTGTGGAACAGGTGACCCCCCTTCCCCAGGGCTGGAGCTCCTGGCTCATCCTGGGTGCCAGCGGGAGGGCCCAGACCCACGCGGTGCCCTCACCTCGCAGGCGGGTGTGGAAGTCAGGTGCGAGCACCTGGCGCAGGTAGGGGGGCTGGGCCTGCTGCAGGACACACAGTGACCACACCACGTCCGTCAGCACGTGAGGATCCAGCTGCTGCACCTGCCCCTGGAGCTGCTCGTGGAGCTGGGAAAGGGAAAACACAGAGGGAAACTCGACCACACCCACGGGTGTCCCCAGGTGTCCTCACTGTCCCCCCAGGGCACTGCACAGGTGAGGCTTTAGGGCCCCCCTCAGGTGATCCCTTGGGCCCTCAATCCATGGATCCAGCCATCCAACACCCCCTTCCCCGTGGGAATGTGCCAGGACAACACCTGTGCTCCGGGGACAGGTGAGAGCTCTGGGGCCCCTCCTGGTGCCTAAAGGGGGAGCTGGGAGGGATTTGGGACACAGGAAAAGGGAGGGGGATTTGGGGACAGAATCCATGGCTGTGGGAAATCTCTGAGGTCCCTTGCCCCCACCGAGAGCACCCTGGAATTCCAGGATTCCCAGAGAAGTCACCATGGAGAAGAATTCCTCGCCGGAGCTGGGCTGGAAGTTGAGGCGGGCAAAGGACACGACGATCCCGCACAGGTGGGCGACGGACATGTCCCGGCTGTTATCCAGGGAATACTGCGGGAAGAAGGGGAATTTGGGGCTGTCCGAAACGGCACCGGGATGGAACAGCGGGAACACGAGCCAGGGGCACCTCCCAGGCGGGAAACGGGAGTGAGGGAGCCCTGGGGTTTTATCCAGGTACAAGGGGAAGCTCTGGAATACCCTGGTATGGATGGGAAAAAGCAGAGGGAGGCACTGGGAGAGAAGCAGTGAGGAAAAGGTTGGAAACACTGGCCAAAGACACAGCCCAATGTGAGAAAACAGGAATGAAACGTCATTTGGTGCTTCCCTGGGGTTTTATCCAGGTGCAAGGGGAAGCTCTGGAATATTCCCGTATGGATGGGGAAGTGCGCAAGAGATGAACTGGGAGGGAACTGGGAGAGGAGCAGCACCAGCACCCGTGGCTGGAGGCCCTGGATCCAGCTGAATCCAGAAGAAAATGATCCCTGATTCCTGCTGGGAAATGGTGACACAGCCTGGGGAGGTGAGGGGTCCCCATTCCCCCCTCTACCCCTCAGACAGGGGAGTGGAACCTCCCACCAGCTGTGCCCCCCCAGGCCCTGCTGGGAAACGGTGACACCATCCAGACAGGTGAGAGGAACTCCCAGACAGGTGAGAGGAACCCTCCAGCCAGGAGTGCCCCCCAGCCAGGGGAGTGCCCCCCAGCCAGGGGAGTGCCCCCCAGCCCTCACCTGTGCGATGCCCTCGGCGAGGGGGCGGTTGAGCCAGCGCAGGGCAGCGAAGGAGCGGGCACAGCGCGACACCTGTGCAGGTGTCAGAGCCCCCAGGTGGGGCTGCAGCTCCAGGGACAGCCTGTGCAGCACCTGGGGCTGCTGGAAGTTCAGCTTACCTGGGCAGAGGGGCACAGCTGAGGGCGTGGGGGCACCTGTCTCCCCGTGCCCCCACCCGGGCACCCCAGCACACAGGGGAGAGCTGGGAATGGTCCCCTGGAGAAGGGAAGGCTCTAGGGAGACCTTAGAGCCCCTTCCACAGAGAGCATGCCTGGCACCAGTACAGACCAGTATGAGTCACCTCTCAGACCAGTACAGACTGGGAAGGACTAGGGGCAGGGAATCCCCCCTGAAGCTACCTGGTGCCTCAGGTGGAAACACCCCGTGGGTCACCTGAGCTCGGGAGGAACTGGGGGTTACTGGTGGAGACTGGTGTCACTGGGAAGAACTGGTGGCCCTGGGTGCAAGTGGTGTCACTGGGAGGAAAAATGGCCCCAAGTAGCCCTGGTGTCTAAAGGGGCTCCAGGTGTGCTGGGATGGAGGTGGGACACCTGGAGTGACAGGACAGCCGGAATGGGCTCATAGTGAGCTCCCAGGTGTGCTGGTGTTCGTGCCTGGAGCACACAGGTAACCTCACAACGCCCCTGTTCCACCCCCAGGACAGGGATAACCCACTGGAGAAGGGACCCTCTGGATTCCCTCCTCCCACCTGGCTGGAGAACAGCCCCTGGGAAGGTTTGGGACCCCAAAGCTCACCTGGCTCCCCCCACTGCCACCAGCCCAGGTGGTTCCCGGCCCCATCCCACGGGATCCGGCCCCAAATGTGTGCCCAGGTGCCCCCGGCACTCACTGTAGGCGAAGAGTAGGTCTGTGAGCACGGGCAGCCCCAGCTCCGGGGGTTTCTGCAGCAGGTGGTAGGACAGGGCCCGCAGCAGGGGCACACAGCGGCGCTGCTGCAGCGCCAGCGCCACGGCCACGCGGCGGATCTCGTCTGCATCCAGCTGCTCCGCCAGCTCCAGGGCCTGGGGACACAGGGGACATGTGAGAGGGGATCTCGTCTGCATCCAGCTGCTCCGCCAGCTCCAGGGCCTGGGGACACAGGGGACATGTGAGAGAGGATCCCCTCAATGTCCAGCTGCTCTGCCAGCTCCAGGGCCTGGGGACAGGGACAGGGGACATGTGAGAGGGGATCTCGTCTGCATCCAGCTGCTCTGCAGCTCCAGGGCCTGGGGACGGCACAGGGGACAGGTGAGAGGGGATCCCCTCAGCATTGAACTGCTCTGCAACTCCAGGGCCTGGGGCACAGGCGACATGCGAGAGGGGATCCCTTCAGGACTGAACTGAACTGCTCTGCAGCTCCAGGGCCTGGGGACAGGGACAGGGGACACGTGAGAGGGGATTCCCTCAATGTCCAGCTGCTCCGCCAGCTCCAGGGCCTGGGGACAGGGGACATGTGAGAGGGGATCTCATCTGCATCCAGCTGCTCTGCCAGCTCCAGGGCCTGGGACAGGGACAGGGGACATGTGAGAGGAGATCCCCTCAGGATTGAACTGCTCTGCCAGCTCCAGGGCCTGGGGAGGGCACAGGGGACACGTGAGAGGGGATCCCCTCAGGACTGAACTGCTCCACCAGCTCCAGAGCCTGTGGAAAATGGGGCAGGTGAGAGGGAGCAGGCAAAGGGGGATCCCCTTGGGATCAAAGTGCTCCATCAGCTCCAGAGCCTGGGACAGGACAGGGGAGACAGGTGACAGGTCAGGGGGATCCCCTTGTGATCCAACTGCTCTGCCAGCTCCAGAGGCTGGCACAGGGGTGACGGGAGAGGGGGGAACAGTGCCCAGGTATCCCACGTGCCCAGTCAGTACCCAGGTGATCCTGGAGCCCCCCACAGTGCCCAGGTGTCCCCTGCAGTGCCCAGGTGTCCCACCTTGTCCTCCAGGCGCTCCATGAGGGCGGGTGCCAGGTGTCCCACCTTGGCCATGAGCGTCACCACAGTCCGCGTGCCCTCCAGCTCCGTCCAGCGCAGCTCCAGCTTGCGCAGCACCTCGGGCAGGAGGGGGCTGTCCCTGTGCCCCGCCAGGTGCTCTGCCAGCTGCACCAGCTGGCGCAGGGGGAGCCGCCGGAGCCGCCACAGCACCTCCTGCTCCACCGAGCGGACCTGGCGCCCCGAGCGGGGCAGCCCCAGCACCGGCAGCGCCCGCAGCACCTGCACCAGCGTCGCGTTCCACACCTGCGAGATCTGCGACAGGACGGTGTGGGACAGGGGTGTGAGCCACACCTGGGAGATCTGGGACAGGGACAGTGTGGGACAGGGTCAAGTACCACACCTGGGAGATCTGGGACAGGGACAGGTGTGGAACAGGGGCACCAGTCTCATGTTCCACAGCTGGCAGATCTGGGGGACCCAGGGGACAAGGCCCCTGGGTGAGGGCCAGGGGCAGCAGGGGAGGGTTTGGGACAGCAGGGGAGGGTTTGGGGCAGCAGGGGAGGGTTTGGGGCACTGCCCGTCCCGCTGAGCCCCTCCCGGGCGTGCCATGAGCAACCCAGGTCCCACAGAGTTGTGCCCCAGCCCATCCCGGGTGAGCCCTGGCTGGCAGCCCAGCCCAGCCCCCGTGCCCGTCCCGGGTGAGCCCAGGCTGGCAGGCCCAGCCCAGCCCCCGTGCCCGTCCCACCTGGCTGTCCAGCGTGTCGAGCAGCCGCAGCAGCCGGGGGTCCCCGCGCAGGGCGGGCGTGTCGGGGCGGCCGTGGGCGAGGCGGGCGAGGCGGGCGATGGCCATGCCCGCCAGGTTGCTGCTCAGCCCGTGCCCCCCGCACAGCTGCAGCAGCTCCTGGGGGTCGCTGGCTCCCCGGATCAGCTCCCGCAGCTGCTGCTCCGGCCCCTCCTCACGCGGCTGCGGCTGTGCCTGCGGGGTCTCGGCCCAGCACGGGGGGCCGGTGCTCAGGGGCCGGGGGCGGCCGCGGGGAGCCCTGCCCGAGGCGGGGGCGGCCCTGGGGGCGGCCGGGGAGCGCGGGGGGCCCGGGGCAGCAGGCGCCGGCAGCACCGGCGGACGAGCTGTGCGGCCATGGGGGCACCGGGGGTCACAGCCACATCCCGGGGGCTGCGGGGGAAGGGAGCGGTTGGAACTGCCCGGGGGACCGGCCCCCAGACCCCTCCGGTGCCCCTCGGAGCCACTCTGGGGGCTGGAACACTTTCAGTCCCACCCGGGGATGCGGCCCCACGTTCCCAGCGCTCCCAGTATCGCCCCAGTAACCCTCCCCGAGCCCCCGCCCAGCCCCTGCCCGGGATACTCCCCACCGGAGCCCCCCGATCACACTGTCCCGTGGATATTTTCCCTCAGAACCCTCCCGGGCCCCGGACACCGCCCCGACCCTTCCCCTCCACCCGTGCCGAGTGCCCCGGGTCCCGAGCACCCCCGGGACTCTCCCCTCGGGCCTCCCCGGGCCGAGCGCCCTCCATGCCGGCCCTGCACGCTCCCGCCTGCTCGTTCCCCTCGTTCCCGTTCCCCTCCATTCCTGTTCCCATTCCTTCCCGCCCCGTTCCCATTCCCTTCCATTCCCATTCCCATTCCGTTCCCATTCCCGTTCCCGTCCCCGTTCCCGCTCCCATTCCTGCTCCCATTCCGTTCCGTTCCTGTTCCCATTCCCATTCCCGCTCCCGTTCCCGTTCCCGCTCCCATTCCCGTTCCCATTCCCGTTCCCGTTCCCGTTCCCATTCCCGTTCCCATTCCCGTTCCTGCCCGTTCCCGCTCCCGTTCCCGCTCCCGTTCCCGCTCCCGTTCCCGTTCCCGTTCCCATTCCCGTTCCCATTCCCGTTCCCATTCCCGTTCCCGTTCCCATTCCCATTCCGTTCCCATTCCCGTTCCCCCCTGACCTCTCCCGGCCCAGCCCCGCGCTCGGGCCGCCACCGAGGCGCGCGATGATGACGTCACCGCAGCGCGACCGCTCCACGCCGCCGCTGCTTACGTCATCACCCGGCGCCGGCTCCACGTGCGGGCAGTGGCGGGCGGGAGTGGGACCGTACCCTGTGCCCCCAGTGCTGCCCAGTACATCCCCAGTGCTGCCCAGTACATCCCCAGTGCTGCCCAGTACATCCCCAGTACTCCCAGTACATCCCCAGTACCTCCCCAGTGCTGCCCAGTACATCCCCAGTACCCCCCAGTGCTGCCCAGCACCTCCCCAGTGCTGCCCAGTACATCCCCAGTACCCCCCAGTGCTGCCCAGTACCTCCTCAGTACCTCCCAGTGCTGCCCGGTATATCCCCAGTGCTGCCCAGTATATCCCCAGCGCTGCCCAGTATCTCCCAGTGCTGCCCAGTACCTCCCAATGCTCCCACAATGCCCCTCGGAGACCCCCCCAGTGCTCCCAGGGACCCCCTGCTGCTCCTCCAGTGCTCCCCCAATGAGTTCCCAGTGCTCCCCCAGTTCCTTCCAGTGCTCCTCTCGCAGCCCCAGTGGCTCCCAGTGCCCCCCCCAGTTTCCACCCGTGCCCGCTCAGTGCCCCCCAGAGGGGTTGTGTGTTATTGATCGAGTATCGGCTATCGATCCCTGGGCACTATCGATCCTTTATTGGCATCCATGACAAACTCGCCGGGGCCGACACGGCCGGGGGGGCCGAAAGGGGGTGTCCGGGGGCTCCTCAGCGCCAGGTGAAGTCCCCACCTGCGGGACAGGGGGTTCAGAGGGGCCGGGGCGCCTGGGGTTCCCCGCAGCCCCTGCAGCCCCCAGCTACCCAAGGACCCCCAACCCCCACTCCCGCAGAGCTCGCAGTGGCACCGGGTGGTGCGGGGCTGTGTGTCCCCTGCCCAGACACACAGGGACCTCCAGGAACCCCCTGGGACCCCCTACCCTGCAGGGCTCGCAGCGACACTGGGGCGATGTGGAGCGGAGCCCCGCGGCCCTCCGGGATCCCTCGGGACCCACCCCAGGACCCTTCAAGAACCCCCTAGGAACGCCCCCTCCAGGACCTCCCCGGACCCTGGCAGGGCCCGCAGTGGCACTGGGCGATGCGGGCTGTGCCCCTCCCCGGGACCCCCAGGACCCCCTGTGCCCCCGGACCCCGGCAGGGCCTCGCAGTGGCACTGGGCGATGCGGGGCTGTGTACCCTCCCAGGACCCCCAGGACCCCCTGTGCCCCCGGACCCCGGCAGGGCTCGCAGTGGCACTGGGCGATGCGGGGCCTGTGGACCCCTAGGACCCCCGGAGGACCCCGGCCAGGACCCCCGTGACCCCGGACCCGGCAGGTCCTGCAGTGGCCCTGGGCGATGCGGGGCTGTGTACCCTCCCCAGGACCCCCTGTGCCCCCCTGCCCCGACCCCCGGGACCCCGGCAGGGCTCGCAGTGGCACTGGGCGATGCGGGGCTGTGTACCCTCCCCAGGACCCCCAGGACCCCCTGTGCCCCCGGACCCCGGCAGGCCTCGCAGTGGCACTGGGCGATGCGGGCAGCAGCGCGGGCCGGGGGCGGCCGCGGGGGCAGGGCAGGAGGAGGGCGCACGGGCCGGGCGGGGTCCAGGCGGTAACTGCAGCACTCGCACAGCGACCGCACGTACGGCTCCTGGGGGCACGGGGGTCACACACACCGGGGCATCTCCGGGCACCCCCAGCCCCCTGCTAACCCCCTGGCTCCTCCCGCTCCTGCCCCGAGCCCCCGCCCGGGCTGCACGGAGGCGGCTCCTGGGGCTGGGGGTCACCGGATCTGGGGGTCTCACCCGCCTCCCCACCCCCGGGAGCTGAGGGCGGTGCGGGGACGACACCCCCTCACCCGGGGGTCCCACTCCCCTCACCCGGGGGTCCCACTCCCCTCACCCGGAGGTCTCACTCCCCTCACCCGGGGGTCCCACCGCTCTCCCCCTCCCCTGGGAGGTGCCCCCCGCACCTGAGCGCTGACGGCGGTGCGGGACCGGCACCCCCCCGCGCAGTAGGTGACGCGGACGCCCCGCAGGACACACGCGCCCTTGGCGATGGTCCGGAGGGCCGTGAGGAGCCGGCACGGCCCGGGGGGCTCCTCTGGGGAGCGGGGGCACGGTGTGAGCGCGGGGGGCTGCCGGGGCCGCCCCCTCACCCTCGCGATCCCCAAGTGCGGGGTCTCACCTGGCCACTCGTCCCGGCACACGGGGCAGCAGCTCCCGGTCTCCCGCACCGGCTCCGTGCCCTGTGGGGACCCCGCTCTCAGCCCCTGCTCGGGGGGACCCCCCGCGACCCCCGGGACCCCCACCTCCGGGCAGGTGAGCGCAGGGCAGGTGGTGGCACAGGTGACACGTCCCTCGGAGCAGCGGCAGGTCCCGCACTCCTCCTGCCACTCGCTGTCGGCCTGGGGGGGGACAGGGGCAGGGAGCCCAAAACACGGGTCAGGGACCCCCCAAAACACGAGGTGACTTCCTAAACGCGAGGGATCCCCCCAGCACAGGGTGCCCCCCAAATAAGGGTCAGCACAGCCCCCCTCCCAAACACGGGGTAACCACAAACACGAGGCATCGCCAAACACAGGGAACCCCCTCAAAACGGATCGGGGACCCCCAGACACAAGGGACCACCTCAGAAACGGGATATATCCCTGAACACGGCGTCAGGAACCCCCAAAGGCGGTAACCTCCCAACACGGATCAGGAACTCCCAAACACAGGTCAGGGACCAACCCCAGACACAGCCCCGGGACAGAGACACCCAGACACGGGATGCTCCCCCAAACATAAAGGACCCCCCCAGCCCCTGGTCAGGGCCCCCCTGTCCCGTCTCACCGCTCGCAGCCCCCCGCGGTGCCGGCACCCGCAGCCCCCCGCGCTCACGCACTGCCCGGAGCCGTTCCGGTACCGCCCGGGGGCGCAGGAGCAGCGCGGGGCGGGGAACGGGAGAGTCCCGGGGGTCGCGGGGGTCCCGGGGGTGCTTGAGGTGCCGGGGATCCCGGGAGTTCCGGGAGTGCCGGGGGTCCCGCCGCAGGTCCCGGGGGGCTCCGCCAGGTCGTGGCAGCTGCGCTCGCAGGCGGGGCCGGGGTCCAGCCAGACCTCGCCCGGGGGGCAGCCTGGGGGCACCGGGGATGGCACCGGCACCCGGCCCTCCCTCCTTCCCGCCCTCCTCCCTCCATGCCTCCCTCCCCCGGCTCTGGCTGCTTCCACTGCTCCGTTCCCTCCATCCCTCCCGTCCCCTCCTTCTATTCCTCTCTCACTCTGTCCCTCCCCCCTTCCCCCTTGACCCTCCGGTCTTTCCTCCCTCTGTCCCTCCCCTCAGCCCTCCGTCCCTCCATCCTTCCGTCCCCCTCTCCCTCCCTCCATCTCTTTCCTCGTCCCTCCAGCCCCTTCTCCCTCCTCCTCTCCCTCCCTCCATCCCCTCCTTTCCATCCGTTCCCCCATCCCTCGATTCCTCCCGCCGTCCCTCCCTCCTTCCATTCTCCCGTCCTTCCATCCCCCTTCCCACTCCATCCCTCTCTCATCCCCTCCAACCCTCTCTCCTCCCCCCTCTCACCGGGGCAGGGTTGGGGGTTACACTCCGCCGTCTCCTCCCCGGGGGTCTCCCCACACGGGGATCCCCCCTCGGGGCCCTCCCGGCACTGCCGGTGCCGTGTCCGGGTGCCACCGCCACAAGTGCGGGAGCAGCGGGACCAGGGGGACCAGGGGGACACGGCGGGGGACGGGGAGGACACGGGGGACACGGCGGGGGACAGGGGGACACGGGGGACACAGAGGACACGGGGGTAGACAGGGGGAGACGGGGGGACACGGGGGACAGAGGTGTCAGGGGGACACGGAGGACGCGGGGTGTGAGGGGGACCAGAGGGACGCGGAGGGTGAAGGGGGAGACACGGAGGTCGTGGAGGACAGGGGGGACGAGGGAGACAGAGCGGACACGGAAGACTCTGGGGACCAGGGGGACACGGGGGTTACAGGGGCAGCGAGGGACAAAAGGGTGGCGGGGGTAGCGGGCCCCGGGGAGGGACACGCCAGCGCCGGGCACGTGAAGGTCCCGTTCCCGCAGGTGCTGCAGCGGGGGACACGCGGGGGTCACCGTCACCGCACCCGGGGCTCTGCTGTGTGGCACTGCCACTGTCCCTGGCCCACCCCACCGTGTCCTCCCATGTTTGTCCTCCTGTCCCCGTGCCCGTCCCACCGCCACCGTGTTCTTGTCCCCGTGCCTGTCCCATTGTCCCCGTCCCTGTCCCACCGTGTCCCCCTGCCTGTCCCGTTGCCACTGTGCCCATCCCAGTGCCACCGTGCCCATCCCCCTGTCGTGCTTGTTCCCCCGCGCCTCCGACCCCTGTGTCTGTCCCCGTGTCATGGTGCCCCCCGTGTCCCCCCAGCTGTGTCAATGCCACCGTCCTCTGTCCCCCACCCCAGCCGTGTCACCTCTTGTGTCCCCCTCCCCTCCGTCCCCTCCATGTCCCCGCCTGCCGCGTCACCCACCAGTTGTGACACCCGATCTGGGTCACCCCCCCCGGGGGCACCTCTCTGCTCCCGTTGCCCCCTCCGGGGGTCCCGCAGCGGCACCGGCCCAGGGGGACACAGTGACCGTCCTGCAGCAGCTGCCCCGGGGGGCACCGGCACCCTGAGGGGGCACAGGGGGGCGCTGGGACCCTTGGGGGGCACGGAGAGGGCCGAAGGGTAACCATGAGGGCTGGGGGGGCACTCATGGATGTGGGGACCACCGGGGGGCAACCGTGGGTGCTGGGGGGGCACGGGGGGACACCAGAGCGCCCATGGGTACTGGAGCAGGCCCTGGGACCTGGTGGGGGGGTACCGACACCCAGGGGTGCACAGGGCGGCACTGCGGGGCATGAGAGGACACGGGGAAGCCCACGGGGGCTGGTGGGGTACTGGAGTCTGAGGGGGGCACCCCCGGGTGCTGGGGCACCCCCCCTCCCGCTGTGGGGCTGTACCTGGCTCGCAGGGGCCCTGCAGACACAGCACCTGCGCCCAGGTGTCAGCGCAGCTCCGGGGGCACCGCCCGGCACAGGCACTGCGGGTCCGGCCCCCCCCGCACTCCGGCCCTGCGGGGGCACGGCACCCCCTCAGCACCCCCGGGGGGTCGTGGGTGCGGGTCCCAAGGGTGCAGGGTGGGGGTTATCGGGCGGGGGCAGGGTGGGGGGCTCAAGAGCAGGGGTTGCCAGCGTGGGGGTCCCCAGGGTGCTGGATGGGGTCCCACAGAGAGCGGTTCCCAGGGGTCCCCAGGACATGGGGTGTCCCTGGGGAGTGGGGGTCCATAGGTGGGGGGTTACCGGGGTAGGGGGCCCAGGGTGAGCAGGTGCCCCTGGGCAGGGGTGGTTATCGGGAGGGTGTCCCTGGGGTTCTGGGTAGGGGGTCCCTGAGATGGGGGGTCCCAGTGAGGGGCGGTGGTCCCCGGGGGTTACCGGCACAGGCAGTGGTGTTGCAGCTCTCACTCTGGGTCCGGACCCCCCCACACGCCCGCCCGACCGTCTCGGGGTTCAGGGGTTGCCGGTGGCGCAGGCGGGACCCCCCCACACAGGGGTCTCCACAGGGTCCCCAGGGCCCCCAGGGACTCCAGTCACAGGGCTCTGGGGGGCACGGGGAGGGGCACCGGGGTCAGGGGACCC